GGCAAGACTAAGACCCTTACATAATGAAAAAGCTGACGAGAAACGTGATGTTCAACGAGACGGGATAAATTTGTCGAACTTTGTCTCATGCCTTATGTATTGTTAACCTCTCAAGTCAAGTTTTGATTGTGCAAACATTCTTAGATGTCAAAACAAAGTTGAACTTTCGACTCCAAATTTGTAGTAAGATGATAAATACAGAGTTCTTGCTCCTCTGCTAAGTAGTTTTAAAGGATTTTTTTCCGCAATCACACAGCAGCTTGTTCTTCGAGAAAACGTCGCCTTCTTTTCGTTAACTGCGTTGGATTTTTAGGTAAGACGCAAATTACAAATCGAAGATTGTCGAGTTTTTGAAAAAACCTTTTTTTGGCTTCAATGATTTCCAGGTGCTAACTGAATTAGCTGATTGTAGCAAAATATCAAGAGATTTCTTTCCGTGACCGCAAGAACGTTCTCGGTCAGCCAAAGGAAGTTTATAAAAGGTATTTTTCCGCTATAATATAGCATCTTTTTGTTGAGAGAAAGTCGCCCTCTTTCGGCCAACTGCTTTGGACTTTCAGGTAAGGCGCAAATAACAAATCAGCGATTGTCAAACGTTTGAAAAATGAACTACTCCTTTGGCTCAGATCATTATCAAGTGCTAACTAAAATAGCTCTTCTTTTTTAGCAAAAAGATTTCGTTCTGTGACCAAAAGAATGTTCTCAGTCCGGCCAATGGAATTTTCGTGTTCTTAATCAAACGAAACTGTGCACAGAACAGACTTCAGTAAAAAATTAACCTCACGATCATTTACGTCGGAAAAATTACTATCTGAATTAGGCGTGCACTTCGCCTCGTTTTGCTGAACACAACGAAAAAGTCTCGTGTCTTTCAGATGCAATCAGCCACGAGGAAATGTATTTGGAGTCATTTGGAGACAAAATCTGGGGGGGCACTCTTCAGAAGTTTAGTGGTTTTTTTTTCTATCCTCATGAGACAAATATTGTTAACTGTGGGACATAAAACAAAATTTTTGGAGTTCGTTTTTCAATAGCTGTCATTGCTACGTATTCGAACTGCGCATCGACATTGTTTAAATTAGACTTAAAGGCTTCCGGTCCGGAAAGACTGTCCCCCTCTAAAAAGAAGTGAAAACAGTGAAACTGCATTTAATCGTTTAATCTTTAATAGTGACTAACATTTCATTTCTCTTTCAAGTATCACAATTGAAGCAAATCTTTCATCGCTAACTGTAGAAGCTCTTGGTTTTTTTTTAAAATCGAATTCACTTTTTTAATACCATAGGAGATGTATAGAGAACAGTATGGAGAATATGCATACTGATGTTAGGGTGTAAAGAGTAAAGACTACAGGCCATCAACCATATCAGGG